CACACACACACACACACACACACACACATATACATACATACATACACCATCCTGGTCAAATGATTGTCCTGCCAATTTTGAAAACCTCCAGTGATGGAGCATTTACAACTCCAGGCTGCGAGGTATTTCATCGATTAATTGTTCTGTCAGAAAATTTATCCTCACTTCTAGGTTGGATCTCTCTTTAACAAGCTTCCACCCATTACTTCTTGTAATGGTGTAATGCTTAAGAGAAGTCAATCCCCTCTTCTCCGTGACTGGAGATCAGTCGCAGCAATCTTCCAAGTACTGGAAGACAATTGCGGTGTCCCCCCCCCCCCCATCCTACTCTTTCCTAGGCTTAGCGCCAAGATAGAGGCCAGGGCATCTAGGGAGAATAGTCCTGGAGACTGTGATTCCAGAAGTGTTGGATCCAACGATTCTACTATGGTTGAAAGGGATCCAGAAATCCCACAAGGACTCTGTGTCTGGCCCACTGATAGCCCTTCAGGCCCTGAAATCTAACCCACCCAATTCCAAGTGGAGGTGGGCATTTAAGAATTTGCCTCTGTTCTGGCTGTATTTGTACATCAGGTGTTGAATTTACAGCAAAGAAACCAAATATTGATAGACAGGTTGAACCAAAACCATATTGACAAAGGCAAGGAAAAGCCAATCTTAAAAGCTAACAAAGCTACGGCTACATGAGTTACAAGCCTGATCCTTTTATTTACCCAACTATGCTACAGGATCTGCAAGGGTGAGGTCAGCTTTTTTGTTTTCTGTGTTTGAGTCAATTTTGAGATCCGGCATCCACGTGGACATGTCCACCTTTTTTGGCAAGATTTTCAGAAGAGGCTTGCTGTTGCCTTCTTCCTAGAGCTAATGGCTGGCCTACGATCACCCAGATGGCTTTATGCCTTCAGCTGGACATAGTCTCCCATTGATGTCCTTAACCACTACACCAAATTGGTTCTTTATACCTACAGGTAGTCCTTGACTTATGACAACACCGAAGAACAAAATTTTGTTTCTAAAGCAAAGCGATTTTGAAGTGAGTTATGCCTTTTTCCCCACAGTTGTTAAACAAATCTTTACAGTTGTTAAGTGAATCGTGCAGTTTCTGAAAAACTTCCAGTGATGAAGCCCCCACAACTCCTGAAGAAAGGCTGTTCCGCTGGTTGATTGTCCTCACTGTTAGGAAATTTCCCCTTCATTTCAGATTGCTTCTCTCCTTGATTGGTTCCCATTCATTGTTGCTTTTTCCTGCCTTCTGGTGCTTTGGAAAATAAGTTGACTCCCTCTGCTTTGTGGCGGCCCTTCAAGTACTAGACTACCGCTATCATATCTCCCCTAGTATTTCTTTTGTCTAGACTAGCCAAACCCAAATCCTGCAACCATTCTTCATATATATTTAGTCTCCAGGCCTTTAATCATCTTTGTTGCTCTTCTTTGGACTTTTTCCAAAGACTCAAATCTTTTTTCTATTGTGGTGACCAAAACTGGATGCAGTATTTCAGGTGTGATCTTACCAAGCCTTTATAAAGTGGTATTAAAACTTCACGTGATTTTGTGACCACCAGTTTCTCAGCTGGCTTCTTTACTTAAAGAAGAACTAGCACTTGGGGGTTATCCCACTCCTATTCTAATGTCTGTACTCTTATACCAAACGTCTCAATTACTGGCAAGCCCAGGAATCCATAAAGTCCAATTCCCAAGGGGCCCTGAAGTCAACCAGCCTGCATATCACGGAACTTGGTGCTTGTCATGTTTTTATGGGCCTCTCTGTCTCTCTGTGTCTGTCTCTCTCCCTCCCTCCCTCTCTCCCTCCTTCCCCCCCTCTCTCCCTCCCTCCCTCTCCCTCCCTCTCTCTCCCTCCCTCCCCCTCTCTCCCCCTCCCTCTCTCTCTCCCTCCCTCTGTCTCCCTCCTTCTCTCTCTCCCTCCCTCCCTCTCTCTTTCTCCCTCCCTCTCTCTCTCCCTCCCTCTCTCTCTCTCCCTCCCTCTCCCTCCTGGTGCCTTTGTTCTTTGAATACATTGCCAGAGGGAAGAAACCTTTCGATAGGTTCATAGCAGATGACCTTGTATTACTGTTCCTGGTTTTATCCCTGTGTTTTTGGAGGGAGGGTCGAGGCGATTGTGCGGTTTGGGAAAGTTATTTTTGTTTTTGTCTATGGAGATTCTCAGTCATCCAGGTCATGGTTGTTCCAAAGCTGCTTTTTCAAGAGGCAACCGGACCTTCTTTGTTTTTCCTTTCGCTTCTCATCCAAGGTGAGCTCAGAGCTGAAGAAGTTTCTTGGATGAGAAGTGAAATGTCTTCAAAGAAAAAACAGAAAGTCCAGTTGCCTCTTGAAAAAAGCACCTTTGCTTTTCCTTCGCTCTTTGGGATTATTTTTGTTTTCATTTTCGTGAAACCTTTTAAAGAACATATTTATGTTTATTGGTGCCCTCAAAGCAGCGTTGACTATTCCATTGCCTAGACCAGTCCTTGCAGTTTTCTTGGCATCGTTTTTTTCAGAAGTGATTGGCCTCCTTTCTACTGCGGAGAGAGAATGACTTGACCAAGGCCACGCAGATGACTTTGTGTTTAAGGCAGGATTGGAACTCCTGGTTTCTAGCCTGGCAGCTTCCCCTGGGCACCGAGTGACTCATCCTTTACTGTTTGGCCTCCCTGTATTTTCCTCCCTTGATTGTCTGTTTGTATAGAGGTAGTCAGTGGTGGGATTCAGCCGGTTCACACCGCTTTGGGAGAATCGGTTGTTAACTTTCTGAGCAGTTTGGTGAACTGGTTGTTGGAATAAATTATTAGGGCAGAGCATCAGTTGTTAAACTGTTTGAATCCCACCACTGGAGGTAGTCCTTCACTTATGACCACAATTGAGCCCAAATGTTCTGTTCTTAAGTGAAACATTTGTTAAGCGTGTTTTAAGTGGAGTTGATAGGTTAGTATCCCAGTTGTTAAACGAATCTGCCATTGACTTTCGTACCCAGAAGTTTGCCAAAGATGATCACATGACTCCAGGACAGTACGACGGTCACAAATATGAACCAGCTGCCAAGCACCTGAATTTTGATCACATGACCATGGGGATGCTGCAGAGGTTGCAATTGTGAAAAATGGTCATAAGTCACATTTTCCAATGCCGTTATAATTTTGAACTGTCACTAAATGAACTGTTGTAAGTCAAAGACTACTTGTATTAACTGATATATTTTCTACTTTGCTTTCTTCTATTATAACTACTAAAATAAGTAGAACTGTATTTGCAATTTCTTTCCCAAAGGCAAATGCGTGTTCATTCATAGCATTCAATCTAAAACTGAAATTGCTGTCTGATGGAACAAAACGTTGCTCTTTGCTGCCACCTGGTGGCTGGTTAGGCACCATGATGCAAGTTAAATCCAAAATGTGAGATACAGGTGGTCCTCAACTTACAATCACAATTGGGACCAGAATTTCTGTTGCTAAGTAAGTTGGTTGTTAAGTGAGTCATGACTGATTTTACAACCTGTTTTTGCCATCATTGCTAAGCAAATTCCTGCAGTAGTTAAGTGAATTGCTTGATCATTAGGTGGATCTGGCTTCCCCTGTTGATTTCACCTGTGAAAAGCCAGCTGGGAAGGTCTCAAATGGCAATCACATGAACCCCAAAAGCTGCACCTGCCATAAATGCATGCTGGTTGCAGAGGTGGGATTCCAATTTTTTTGGTACCGGTTCTGTGCGCGTGGCTTGGTGAGCATGGCAGGGGAAGGATACTGTAAAATCTCTAGTCAGAGGTGGTATTTGCTGGTTCTACTCAAAATTTCTGCTACCAGTTCTCCAGAACTGGTCAGAACCTGCTGAATACTATCTCTAGCTGGTTGGCAAGCACCCAAATTTCAATCACATGACCGTGAGGATATTGCATTGGTCATAAGTTTGAGGATAGGTTAGAAGTCACTTTTTCCAGTGCTGTTGTATCTGCAAGCAGTTGGTAGATGAATGGATGTAAACTGAGGACTATCTATAATTGCATTCCCAGATAATTGTAATTAAGTGTGATCATTCCTAAAATTATGGGGTGAGCAAAGCCTGTATTTATCTGGAAAGAATAGAATAGGAATAGGAATAGAAATAGAATAGGAATAGAATAGAATAGAATAGAATAAAATAGAATAGAATAGAATAGAATAGAAATAAAACAAAATAGAATAGAACAGGAATAGAATAGAAAGTATCTGAATAGAATAGGAATAGAATAGAAATAGAATAGAATAGGAATAGGAAAAGGAAAAGGAATAGGAAAGGAATAGGAAAGGAATAGAATAGAATAGAATAGGAATAGAATAGAAATAGAATAGAATAAAATAGGAATAGAATAGGAATAGGAATAGAATAGGAATAGAATAGAACAGAACTTTTAAATGTATACTAAGTAGCATACATTAAAATGAAACTTTGTTGCATTTAGCTCACAAAAGATAACCATTATGCATATATCCATATACCACTTTACATTTCTCAGAAAGAGATCTCTGAAAACCAAAAACATACGTCCAGTGGCATGTTATGAAAAGAGTGAGAGAAGAAGTTGTTCTTTGGTGCTGAAAGACATAGTTGTGAGAAATTCTCAAATACAGGTGGTGATTGCTTAATGACCAGCTGTTTAGCAACCATTTGAACAGATTCCCTAAAAGTTATTTATGACCTGGTTTCAGAGTTCTGATGGCTGCACACTCCCACGTGGTCACATGACCCCATTTTGACCACTTGACCACTGACTCACCTTTATGGCCAGTTGCAGTATTCTGTGAATACACAACCATGATTTATGAGAGTTTTTTGCCACTTTCTGGCCTCTTCGGCCAGCTTCCGGCAAAAAACACTCATAGAAATACATTGATTCACTTAACAGCCATGGCACCTGTTTAACAACCACAACATTTACTTAAGGAACCCAACATTCAGTTAACGATCATGGCAAAAAAACTTATAACATTTTCAATCATATAGGTCCCTTGACTTATGACCTATAATGACAGAAATCCCAGGATCCTTTATGTCTTAAGTTGAGGGCCGCCTGTACATAGGATGCTTTCATGTGCCAATAGAGTTCCACAATTTTTTGCAAAGAAGGATATGGGGAGTAAGTACATCATCTTGTCCTTGGATGAAATGAGCTTTGATGAAATCACCTTGTTGAATGCCGCAAAGAGTCCAAGTCATCATTTGTGTCCTTTGACAGGAACAACGCAGGGCTGAGCGTGCCGAGCAACAGCGAGTCCGCACTGAGAAAGAACGGGAACGACAGGCCAAGCTTGCCGTGAGTATCATAATTTTCTAGGATGGAACAGGAAAGAGTGTAAACTGATGATGATACACTGATGACATCACCTAGTTGGGTAGTGAGATGTCTGCAAACAAACAACCGAGCTCAGAGGACACCAGGAACTCCACAGTGTAAAGCCTTTGAAAGCTTAGCATAGGTATTAAGGTCTAAATTTATTTAATTTAGGTTCTTTTATTTTCAGTTTTCTTCCAAATCAACTAGATATATATTTGGTGTTCAATAGGTGAGAAACTGCAATTTGACACTGAATCACATGAGAAGTCAACATTGTGATATAACTCAAGTCCAGAAATAGCCAGGAAGGTTTTTTATTGGAATCCTTGTGCTAAAACAAGGAATTAACACGTTAAATTGATTTTTAAATTGATTTTTAGTAGTTACTTTAAAATTTTTGAAAGATTGTCTTCTGAGTTTGAATTGCCTTCAATACGTGATTGACAAGGTAATGCAAACATATTAACTAAACAATATGGCCCAGATGCTTAGCAAATTTGGAGGTATCTGTAATTTTAAGTTCTTTAGGAAAGCGGGCCCCAAACTTTATGACGTGGTAGCCCAGCAGGGGGAGGGGAGGAGGAACCGGCCCATGCAAGTCAAGCTGTGCATTTGCACCACTCACACAAGTCGAGCTATGTGGGTGTGTGCAGGCCTGCTGCTCGTGCAAATCAAACTTGCCATGTGCATGCATGTGCCAGCCCTCTGCTTGTGCGGCCTAGTTTCAAATGGTAGTGGGCTGTGGCCAGTAGTGGGCTGTGGCCCAGGGGTTGGGGACCCCTAATTTAGAAGATGGTGCAGTAGAATGGAGCCGAGAGTTCAATTTTATAAATATGAAAACATAAAATGAAAGTATTATCTTGGTTTCGTTTCCAATCTATGGAATAAAGTATCAGAATATCCAATTTTGGAAAAATCAACCAGTCTAGTGTTTAAAAAGGTGAAATATATTTATGATTTAAAAAATGAAATTAATTCATAAGAAAATATTGGTCTATAGGAGCCTGGAAAAAAGAAATGATCAGCAGAAAGAAAGGAATGATCAGCAGACTTCTTATATTGGCGGGTTAAGGCTGATCCATTTGCTGACAATTTGTGGAAAGTCTTGGAAGGATACGCTAAAGATTTTTGGAGATCCTTGCACAGCCTGGAGTCTCCATAGTTTTCCATCTGATAAAGAAAGCCACGTTGATGGTTCTTCCCAAGTGGGAGCAGGGAAAGCACCTTTAAATAATCTTCTCCATGGTGTCCTCCTTTTCAGGAAGAAAAGATGAGGAAAGAAGAAGAAGAGGCCAAGAAAAGAGCTGAAGATGATGCTAAGAAGAAGAAAGTGCTGTCCAATATGGGAGCTCACTTTGGTGGATACCTGATCAAGGTAAGTTGGCTTCACTTGGGGTGGGGGGAAACCACAATTTCATTTTATTCTTTCAGGCAGAGACATTAAGATGAAGCTGCACATGAATCTAGTATTGCAAAATAGAATCCCATAAGAAATGTTCTGTTTGTAGGTTTTTTGTTTTGGGGAACAGAATCTCGAGTTTTAGGTCTTACTACGTCACTTTTTGGACTGTCATCTAGAGCCTGTAGTTGAGATTCTCCCCTTCGATCCCCTGGTTTTTGGAGACTGCTAACTAACAGTGCCGGTTTTGCCTGCTCGTGTTGTAGCAGTTGCTACTCATCCATGTAGGCCTTGACACGTTTATCTCGGCTCTCTCTTTCCAACTCTCCATGGTGGAAGTTGAGGGAGGTGGCATTGGCCATCTTCTTTAATGCTGCAGCCTGTGCTGTTTTTGTTGCCATCTTTCTTTGTTGTTCGAGCAATTCCAATTGGGCCTGAGTTTTGGCCATTTCTTCTTGTTTGCTGGCCATTTCTGCTTGTTGAGCTGCTACTGCCTCCTTCTGCCAGGTCATCTCTGTCGTTACATGTAAATCTGCCTCTGCTACTGCAGCTTCGATTTGAGCTTCTACATCTCGTTCAGCATAACTTGCTGCCTTTGAGGCCTTAGGTGCATTGCTGCAACAGGAGGATGCTCTGGAAGGATGGGAAGAGCCAGCTGCAGAGAATTGCCATGAGATGTTGGAACCTGCTTGAGATCTAGCTGGCTTGGGATGGAGGGATGAGGCTTTCTTAGAATAGTGGGAGGAAGCACATGATCAAGGGGCTATGTCGGATGTGGCCCTCTCCCCAATGTGTCATGGAGTGCTGCTTGGAGAGAGTCTTGCCTCTATGAACGAAGTCCTCATGTTCCCTGTTCATCTCCTTGAAGCATCAAATATGTTCTTGGAACTTTGGGTCACCCAGCTTCGACTGGATGGACTTGAGTTTACTTTCACTGTCTCTACACTGTGCAAGAAAGTCACCTAGGTCTTTCTGCAATGTGCGGATTCTCTCCAGGGACAGCTCGCATTTGGGGGTATCGCAGATCTCCAGCAGCTGCAACCATGAGTTTGTATGGTGTCGATACTGCCAGTCCCAATCCTCCCTCAGGTATGACTCCATGGTCTCAGTAAGCTTCCTATGCTGTCTGAGGTCATAGGCTTTCAGAGATCCCTCTGTCTCTTCAGAATTGTGGATATCTGATTCTGGGTTTTGGGAGCCAAGCTCTACGTTTACATCAAAGGTGGGTGGAGGGTTCGAGTCCTCTGGTATGTCAGAGACATCTGTCATGGCTAAAGACGCTGCCATGCTTTAAATTGGCAAACAGTGAATCTTGGGAAAATTCAGCAGTTTCCCATGCAATTCCCCTTTTTCTACTAGGGTGCGCTTCAAGTGGGTTGCTGAAGTTCACTGGTTGGCCACTAGAGGGTGCATTGCAAGGTCTAGAAGATGCTGGTGCAATAATAGGTTGGCGGCTTGGATGCGTTGCAATTCAGTACTTGACCCTTATGCTGCGTTGCAAGGGCTGCTGAATTTAGGAAACTCCTTTAAAATTCACTACTTGACCAGAAGGGGCTGCTGCGAGCTGGTAGGTGAATTTAGAAAATTCCTATAAAATTCATTACTTGACCACAAAGGGTTGCTGCAAGCTAGTGAATGAATTTAGAAAACTTCTGTGAAATTCAGTACTTGACCATGTAGATGGCGCTGCAGGCTGGTAGCTGAATTTAGAAGACTTCTATGCAATTCACTAGTTGACCACTAGAGGTGTGAGTTGCAAGGTCTGGACGATGCTAGTGCACTACACAGGTTGGCCTCTTAGTGGTGCATAACCCTTGGGGTTATGTTGCAAGAGGTTGCTGAATTTAGGAAACTTCCTGTAAAATTCAGTACTTGGCCATGAGTGGAGCTAGACCCTTGGGCTGTGTTGAAAGGGGTAGCTGAATTGCATGCATTTATGATGGATAGTCATCAAAGGATGTTTTGCTTTTAACTATTACTTGGGCAAACTATGATTAGGCGATCTCCTTTTGTTAAGCAGTATAGGTTGGTGTCGTTGATTAGGGATTGCCTTTAATTCCAGTAAAAAAGGAAAACCCTTTCACTTTGCCAACAAAGAAAGATGGCAGGCTGTATTCCTTTCTTTAAATTGGTGGCTGGATTTGGTTTCCCTCTTTGGGGGGCGTATATGGCCCGTTTCTATGGAGATGGCTCCGCACTAAAGAACTTACAACCCTGTTGCTTGGAGACCCTGTCATAAACTGTCTAGAGGGGCCTCTTTATGCTTTGCCTCCCCTCCAGATGATCAAAGGAAATCAACAATTGTCTCTTTCTGACTGAAGACTTAGGAATTAACACAGTTTCTTATTTAAATCCTGTCTCTTTGCAAAAAACAGTCCTAGAGTTTGCAGGGAGAGACAGGGACGATATAGCTTGTTTTGTCTCTAGCAAGTGCGGGGATTTCCGGCCCCTGCCAATAATTCAAACAGGCTATATAACTTCAGTTGCTCAGAGGGTGAGGAAGAGAGAATCGGAGTTTAAATCCTCCTTTGGGAGTTCCAATTTCAATATACCTTTACTTTGGTGCGCAGATTAGCACTGTAATTTTACTGTGGGAGTTGACTCTTCATGGGGATTCAGCGAGCAGTATAAGTTTACTTTGCGAATTCAGAGTAGTCCATATTTTCACTTTGGGAGTCCAAATTAACTGTATTTTTACTGTTCTGTCATTTATAATTACTGGCTGAATGTATAAAGACAGACAGGCAAACTCTACAAAGTCTTCCATACAAAGTTTCTTTATTGGTGACAAGGCATTCTCAAGCTGTAACTCACGGTTATGTCGAGATTCATCTAATGTCCAACTCTTTGCACAGGTGACTTCATAGTGTAAAAAGACAGCTCTCTTCATCCCATAACGATGGAGCAGAGAGATCCAGAATGCTGCTGGATCCAGGCAAGGAAAGGGAACAAAGGGCTTCCCCCAACCCAACCAAGGGTCAATTCAGTAACCAATCAGGATTACAGATGTGACTACATGACATGGACTACATTTCCCATGATGCCTTAGCTACATTTACCATGATGCATTCCCTTAAGGGGACAGCTCCTAATACCTAACTAACTATCCCACTTGCCAATTAACTGTATACTGTTCGGACAGCACAGCACATATGTTCCTTTTGGCTTCTAGGTGCTCACTAAGAAAGGATTTTTTTGAAATAACCATCAAAGCATTAGTATTTCATATATTATTATTAACACGCTCTGATGCTAAAGAGTTCTACTCCCGCTCCCCACCTGAAAAGAACTTTGTTCCAAATGTAAAACACAAGCATAGAGGAGTTTCAGTTTCAGTTTTAGTTTCACAGCAGCAAGCAGCTTTAGTACGGAACAGTTGAGCTAAGCCACACCCAGGCTCCTTGCTGTTTCCTTCTTGTTCACACAACAAATACTGTTTCAGTTTCCAAACAGCCCTCAATCAATGGATGCTGGTAAGCCGAGGCAGAATTTTTTCTCCCTCATTTTCCTCCCCCAAAACTAAGCCCAACCACATAGTTTCATAGCAAAGCACGGGTATCGAGCTAGTATAATAGTATCTAAGGAGTAAACTACAATTTTGAGAAATGGGCACCACTGTATGACTTTGGGCAAAGGTATCCCTGAGATCTTATCTAGTAAGGCTACTCTGGCATGAGCTTATAAGTGAATGTCAACATCTCATGAGATTTAATAATCTTTTTTTTTTTTTTAAAGCAAGCAGCTGCATCTCGGAGAAAGTTCTATATACGCGATTACACATTTCTAGAAAAACAACTGTCCCTGATTCCAGGCTCGGTCTCTTCTCAACAGTGGTGCTGCGATTTTGGAGTCCCATTTTTTTTTTTTTTTGATGTTTCAGTTCACTGGGGCCCCAACCAGCATCTTTAACAGAAGATTAGCAATCTTGGGCAGGCACTGGTAACAAGTAGAAGGAGAAAGAGGAAATGCATGCCTAGATATGGTTTGCTCTCATCCCAAGAGGTTGGTAGCAGAGCAAGAAAAGGAGAGGAGAGGAGTTAGCCAAGGCATGGAGCTCGCTCACCTAGAAGGCAGCCTGTCCAACATTCCACCCAACTGGACTTTAACCTAGGCTGTTCCAGTTTGTTTCTTTTTTGTTCTGTAGAAGGAAGTGTTAATACCACTTTATTATGTCTTGGTAAGATTGTTGTGGCCCGCCTGCGGCTGACAGAGCTGGCAGCAGAATTGCACAGTGAGGAGGTTGGGGAGGAACCTGAGCCATTCCTGGAGGCTGAGGAAGGCTCGGACAAGGGCTCTGTGTCAGAAGCAGAAATGGAGCCAGGGCAGACTGGCAGTCATCAGCTGCCTTTGGGCTCAGACAGCAGTGAGGCCGGGGAGCTTCTGGAACTAGTTCCCAGCCTGCACATGCGCAGAGCTGCCAAAAGAAAGAAAGAATTAAGAACTCAGGGTCGACGTGGGAGTAAGGCCACAGGTGGACAATGAATGGCCCCTCCAATCAGGATTAACAGAGGAGCAAAAAGAGGAGGGGGCTTTTGCAGGAAACAACTCGCTCATTCATTCATTCGTTCGTTCAAGCCTTGTCTGTGTAACCCAGCCCTTCCCTGTCAGCACTGCGTGTGGAAATATTTACCGGGCAGCTTTCCATGATAGAGAAGGTCTGAGCTAATTAGTATACCTTCGCAAGACTGTTTGCCAAGCTGTTGGCTGAATGTGAATGCACTAAATTCACATTAATTTAATAAAAGATGTTTTGACGGGACTCAGAGTCGGCTTAGTGCTTTTTTGGGGAAGCCTAGGACAAAACAAGACTATAGTTGGAATATTGCATCCAGTTTTGATTGCCACGATATAAAAAAAGATGTTGAGGCTTTAGAAAGAGTGTAGAAAAGAAGCTAAACATATGAAGAATGGTTGCAGGAATTGAGTAGGTCTAGTTTAATGAAAAGAAGGACTAGGGGTGACAGGATAGCAGTGTTTCCAATATCTCAGGGGTTGCCACAAAGAAGAGGGAGTCAAGCTATTCTCCTGATCATCTGAGGGCAGGACAAGAAACCAGGGATGGAAACTAATCAAGGAGAGAAGCAACTTAGAACTAAGAAGAATTTTCCTGACCGTTATAACAATTAATCAGTAGAACAGCTTGCCTTTAGAAGTTGTGGATACTCTAACACTGGAAGTTTTAAAGAAGAGATTGGACAACCATTTATCTGAAATGGTGTAGGTTTTCCTGATTGAGCAGAGGGTTCGACTAGAAGACCTCCAAGGTCCCTTCCAACTCTGTTATCCTGTTATTTTTGCAGGCAGAGCAAAAACGTGGAAAGCGGCAGACTGGCCGAGAAATGAAGATCCGGATCTTAACAGAGCGACGAAAACCTTTGAACATAGAGAACTTAAGCGAGCAACAGTTGAGGTGGGACCCAGAGGAGAACTCTGTGTGGTTGCATTCCTGGAGGGAGGGTCGTATAGGACAGGGGTCGCCAACTTTTTGGACTTCAGGGACCACCAAACTCATAATTTTAAATCCCGCGGACCACTGATATGAATTTTGATTGACGGTGGCTTGCTGACATTGGTGGGAAAGTCAGTCCCATATTTCAGAGTTGCAGTAGTCACAAGACTGGCCCTTTGGTCATCCCGGAGCTACTCCGGGATGACCAAAGGGCCAGTCCTGTGACTACTGCAACTCTGGAATATGGGACCGACTTCCCCACCAACGTCAGCAAGCCACCCTGGGGCGGATTTTCCTCCCCCGCTGTTGGTCTTACCTTCCAGTTCCAGCCCGCATGGCTCAACTCAAGGTAAGGTTTGCATTCGGCTGAAGGGTGGGGAGCCAGCAGGTGGGGAGACTATGTGGGCGGCGCAGCCTTGTGTTCCCATGCAGCCTGGATTAATTGCTTTGGGGGGAGGGAATTTCTCTGCAGAACACCGAAACTTTCTCATGAACCACCAGTGGTCCCCAGCTCACTGGTTGGTGACCACTGGTATAGAGACCTAGGCTGAAGGTTGGTGTGGCATTACTAGAGGATCATCGTATTTTCCTGTGTCTCCAGGGAAAAAGCCAAGGAGCTCCATGACTGGATCCATCATCTAGAATCAGAGAAGTTTGATCTGATGGAGAAACTCAGACGTCAAAAATACGAGGTGAGAAGACAAAGGGTTGGGGAGGAAAAGGATAAAAGCAAGGTTTGTCTTTTGGGAGAAGCTGTCAAAGCTGAAACAACATGTTCAGAGGAGCATCCTGAAATGCCACAAAGCTATAATTTTCTCCCAAGTTAATAAAATGCATTGGTGGAGAAACGGAAATGTTCCCCAACTTGTAATGTCTGCCTTTCTCCAATGCTGCATCTTCTACATTCTGTGTTTTGTGCCTCTTAATCCTAATGTTAAATTCCATTCATCAGTCTTAGAGTGTTTAATCACACCCTTCTGGTATCCTGATCAAACATTTCAGTGGTTTTGTTGCTTTTAAAATTCTTCCTTTTTTGGTGTTGGTCTATGTATGCAATGAAATTTTCAAATGGTAAAAAGTTTCAGAAGCGTCATTTCTTTCCCTGTAATCTCTTTCCATGGAATAAAGTAACTGGAGTCTTATTTTTTAAAGATAAAGGGTTTACAAGTTGTCCTTGACTTACAACCGCAATTGAGCCCAAAATTTCTATTGCTAAACAAGACGGTTGTTAAGTGAGTTTTGCCCCGTTTCAGTCCTTTCTTGCCATTGGTAACAAGCAGGGGTGGGATTCAAAAATCCCAGCAACTGGTTCGCTGCCCGGTTGCTGGGTAGGAGTGGCCCTGGTGGGTGGGGCCTACCAGAACTTCCTGTTTCCAGCTTCCAGTGGGCCTCCAGAGCCCGTGGGAGGCTGTTTTCACCCCCCAAAAAGTCCAGAGTAGTGGTGGTATTCGACCGATTCCGTCTGGTTCTGGTGAGCCGGTAGGAGCGATGAGCAGCAGAGATCAAACCGGTTCTCTCCACCGCTCTGCTGTTGCGCCCATCCACCCGCCCAAGCTCACATATTCACTTTTTTCAACTAAATTTGAAGCGCAGCTGCTTAGCGTGGCATAGAAGAGTACCGTGCGGCAGTTGCTGAAGTGACCGGGATCGTGCAGGCTTGCAGGAGGAGAGTTAGAACGCCTCTGCACCTGCGCAAACGCCTCTGCGCCCACGCAAAGTATGCATTTGGCGCAAATCAGTGGCAGCAATATTTGAATCCCACCACTGGTCCAGAGGCAGGGGGGGATTCTACCATGTTTCTCACAAAATAAGGCCAGGCCTTATTTTTTTTGATTCCCCAAAAAACGGCTAGGCCGTCTTTTCGGGGGTGGCTTAATTCCCCCCCCCCACTTGCATCTTTGGGTGGGCGGGCAGCGACGGCTTGGATGTTGACTTTGGCGTTAGTGGGGCACTTTGTATCGGGAGACCTTCCGCCACTGTTGCTTTCCCTTCTCCCTGTACTGCCACGGCGTTTAGAGCAATGCCGTGGCGTTTGGCGCAGCCACACACGGCCAGCCAGGGCTCCTTCCTGCAACCGGAGCCTGGCGGAGACACTCGGCTTCAGGCGCTCCTGTCGCCGCCTTCCCTTCGCCTTCGAAGGCAAAGCCAATTCTTTTAAAAACGATGCCCTACTACCGGTACGACAAAGCCTCCCCTGCCTGAGAGATGCAGCCCAACCCCACATGGGGAGGCGAATCTCCCAGGGCCACAGTGCAGGATTGGCCCACTCCGGGAGACGCACCCAGCTGCCATCCCTGCCTGGTGCTGGGCAGAGCACAAAGAGCTTTGCCTGGGGCGCCCAGTGCAACTGACAGGCGGTCCCTCCTGCCCAGCGGTGCTCTCGCCAAGGCAGCAAGCGCCTCACCACTGGGCCCTCCACTCATCCCTCCAGGGCCATGCCAGAACCGTGCCAGAGCCGTGTGGGCTGGGCAGAGCCGGGAAAGCGAGCCATGGGTGCGCGCCCACCTGCCAAGCGAAAGAGCCGGGCCGTCCCGAGCTTGGCTTCCTTCCCAAGTCCCTCCAGCCCAAACCCAAAGGGGCCACCGGGAGAGGCTGCCTGAAGCAGTGATAGCACCCATCCATCCGTGGACAGGGAGGCAAGGCAATGGCCTGCGCTGCGTCCTCCTCCAAGCTGAGCCCCACTGAATGAGTGCCTCTGCCTGATGCCCATGCCACTGTAGCATTTAGAGCTGCTGGTGCATTTGGAGATGCATGGGGATGGGGACGGGCTGGGTGAGAGGTGGAAAGGACGGGTGGCTTTGGGCTCTCTCTGCCAGACCCATCGGCCAGGGAAGCAGTGCTGCCGTTGCCTCACCTCCCTGTCCGCCGATGGGTGGGTGCTATCACTGCCTCAGGCAGCCTCTCCCAGTGGCCCCTTCGGGTTCGAGCTGGAGGGACTTGGGAATGAAGCCAAGCTCGGGTTGGCCCGGCTCTTTCACTTGGCAGGCGGGCGCGCACCCACAGCTTGCTTTTCTGGCTCTGCCCAGCCTGCCCGGCTCTGGCGAAGCCCTGGCAGGATGAGCGCAGGGCCCCATGGGGAGGCGCTCGCTGCCTTGGTGAGAGCTCCTCTGCCGGGCAGGAGGGCCCGCCTGTCAGCTACTCTGGGCTCCCCAGGCGAAGCTCTTCGTGCTCTGCCTGGCGCCAGGCAGGGATGGCAGCTGGGCGCTTCTCCTGGGGTGGGCCGATCCTGTGCTGTGGCCCCGGGAGATTGGCCTCCCGACGTGGGGTTGGGCTGCTCTCTTGGGAAGGGGAGGCTTTGTCATACCAGTAGTAGGGCGTCATTTTTAAAAGAATTGGCTTTGCCTTCGAAGGCGAAGGGAAGGTTGTGACAGGAGCGCCTGAAGCCCAGTGTCTCCGCCGGGCTCCAGTTGCAGGGAGGAGCCCTGCTTGACCGTGCGTGGCTATGCCAAACGCCGCGGCATTGCTCTAAATGCCATGGCAGCACGGGGAGAAGGGAAAGCAACAGTGGAGCAAGGTCTCCCAATACCAAGTGCCCCACCAACGCCGAAGTCCATACAGGCAGCACCATATCCGGGTATGCAACAAAAGTACTTCCTAACAGCAAGTCCCCCCACCATTTCCCCCCATTTCGCATGTTTAATATAGGCTTTAATTTGGGGGGAGGGGCTAATTTGATTTTATGCCTATAAAACATGCTGGGACTTCCTATTGGGGGAGGCCTTGTTGCTGGAGAAACACAGGACCAGTTTGCACCCATTCGCTAGAACTGGTTGTCAACATTCTAAGCAGTTCGGAGAACCGGTTGTTAGAAGAAATTACTGGCCTAATCCTGTAAGGAAGGCAGGAAGGAAACATTCTGGTGTTGCATACAGAAACTGCCTCTCAGTTAACCCTTATTACATTCTTGGCAGGACTAGACTTCCTGTCTCTGGAGCTTCTCTGGAGTTTTTTTCCGCTCTTTTGCTGGAACTTTGCTTGTGTGGAGTAGCCATTCAAAGTTACAATGGCATTGAAAAAGTGACTTATGACCATTTTTCATACTTACGACTGTTGCAGCATCCCCATAGTCATGAGAGGCCAGGCGAGGAGATGCGTGCCTCGATGTGAGTGATGTAGAGTTGGCCACTGCCAGCCAGTCACATGATCAACAAGCCACACCCACAGGACCGGTTGTTAAAAATTTGAATCCCATCCCTGTCCAGAGGCCTCCCCTGGGTCTCTGGAAGAGCAAAAACAGCCTCCCCCAGCCTCTGGAGGCCCACTGGAAGCCAGAAACAGGCCTGTTTCCGGACTTACAGAAGGCCCCTCCCAAAGCCTCTGCACGGACCCTGCACTTACCTCCATCAAAAATAGGCCGCGTGGAGACTCCTGGGAGAGGAGGGGCGGGGAGGAGCCAGCCAGTTGGTTGAAATACCAATTCAGTGAACAGGCTGTAACTTTAACATCCGAACCGTAGGATCCTACCCGTGGGATCAAGTGAATCAGTGCAGTTGTTAAATAAGATTTGTTAAGTGAATCAGGCTTCCCCATTGACTTTGCTTGTCACAAGGTCGCAAAAGGTGATCACACATGAACCTGGGAATATGGCAACTGTCACAAATATGAATCAATTGCCAAGTGTCCGAATTTTGATCATGTGACCAGGTGATGTTGCAATGGTCGTAGGTAGGAGAAAGGTCATAAGTCTCATTTTTTATGCTGCTGTAACTTAGAATGGTCACTAAAAGAATGGTTGTAAGTTGAGGATACCTGTATACAGAAAGGCCTGTTGGAGAACAGAGCATGTGGAATAAGAAACTGTTTTAGAAAGTCCAAAGAGTCTAAACAGAGGTATCCTCGAGTTACAACAGTTCATTTAATGACCATTCAAAGTTACAACGGCCCTGAAAAAAGTGACTTGTGACCGTGTTTTTCACACTTATGAGCATTGCAGAATCCCCATGGTCACATGATCAAAATTCAGGCACTTGGCAAATGACTCATATTTATGACGGCTACAATAATGTGATTCCCCTTTTGTAAACTTCTGGCAAGCAAAATCAATGGGGGGAGCCAGATTCATTTAACAACCATGTTACTAACTTAATGACTGCAGTGATTCACTTAATAACTGCGGCAAGAAAGGTTGTAAAATGGGTAAAACTCAACAAATGTTTCCCTTAGCAACAGAAATGTTTCACTTAGCAACAGCAATTGTGGTAGGTCAAGGGCTACCTACTCTCTATTCTCTCAAGTACTTCAAGGCCACAATTAACTCCACCATCGTCCATCGGCCAGAACGACCAAAGAATCCGATATATAAATAATGGGCCAGCCCACTATAATACCAGCCATCTTTCAGATATCTGCGTGTGTATTAGAATCTACCCGGCTTCTGTTCTTACTGCCAGTCTTAGCTAAATTTATCATAAGTTCTGTCCAAAAAAATGAATTACTTGGATACATTACTGAGTAAGCCTGGTGAACTATTTATAGTTGCTTATATAAAAAGGAAACTTTAAAAGCCAGTTATTTTTAAAAATGGAGCCTTCTATGATGCTGAAATCATATTAAACATCACTTCCATTCTGTTTTTGTTAATCTTCCCCCTCCAGATCAACGTTCTGTATAATCGCATCAGCCACGCCCAGAAGTTGTGAGTAACCTGTGTGTGAATGGGAACGACATAAATCCAACAACTTTTCAAACTCAAATTCCCCTTCCCCTTATTTTCATACCCACAACCATGTGCATTTTTACCAGTGGAACAGATATTCCTAATGTAGGATTAGATGAGCCAAACTAGATACTGTCTTTAATTCAAGTCCCGAGACAAACCAACATCTTTGTTCAATTACAGAATTTCTGACTACCAGGAGCTTTGGTTGCTATGCTTTCTTTTTTTCTTTTTCTTTTTTTACTTCGCATGTTTCTTACAGACTAATCAATGGCACTTTTCCCAAAGCCACAGAAAGGTATAACAGAGCCTATAGCGCTAAGACTTGCGGGAAATGAAATTCTTTTCAGAATTGCTCATGAGGAAAACTTAAATTTCCTATGAGTTATTAGGCTCATCTTGCCAATGTCCTTCTGATTTGCTTGGGCGTGAGAAAAATGATCTTGTTGGTTACAAAGGGTGTCATTCTCATTCTATTCAATTCTATTCTATGCACTGCTCGATGCCTGAAGATAAACATTGTTCCTCCCCTTAATGCTGCCTGAAGACTACATCGCTTTAGTCCAGCGTTTCTCAACCCTGTCAGCTTGAAAATGTGTGGACTTCAACTCCCAGAATTCCTCAGTCAGCAATTCAAGGTTGGCTGGGAAATTCTGAGAGTTGAAGTCTATGCATCTTCATCCAACAAAGTTGAGAAACTCTAGTTTAGTCCTGCCTATTGGAGACAACAGAATCGGGAAAGTTTGCCTTAGGGTTGGGGGAGTGAGGGTGGAAATGAACAGATTACTTTGTTCTAATCCAGATGTTTCAATTTCAAGGTCCCATCATGGAAATGTGAATGAAGCTGCATTTGAGTTATGAAATTATTCTGCTTCATTCTATTATTTTAAAAGAGACAGATGAAGCCCACGTTCCAATGCATTTTCCCTATCATACACTCTATTAGCTCTACTAAATATATGCACTTTTGCATTTACCCAATAGGGTGGTGCTGTGGCTCAGTGGTTAAGCACTGGGCTTCTCAGCTAGAAAGCCAGCAGGCCAGGTTCAAGACCTCAGCGCCATACAATGGGGTGAGCTCCTGTCCTCGCCTCAGTTCCTGCCAACTTTGCAGTTTGAAAACATGCAAATGCGAGTAGATAAATAGGTACCATTTCAGTGGGAAGGTAACAGTACTCCGTTACACCATGCTGGTCACATGATCACGGAAATGTCTTTGGACAGGACTAGCTCAATGGCCTTGAAATGGAGATGAGCACACACACACACCCCACAGTTGGCAATGATAGCGGAATAAAACCTGCAAGTATTTCATCACCTTGAATTACCCAATAGGAAGATGTTTTTCCCCTTCAAAATATTTGTCTATGGATGGGAGAATATTATATTGTGAGAGTATTTTTTTAAAAAACCTGAGCACCAATAAGTCGAGGTGAAAAAGGCAGCAGACATCATTTGAAGATGAGTCCTTTTGCAAATTAATGGTCAACAATGATTTGGGAGGCGCAACTTGTCTGGTGAATTTTAATCCTTAGTGTAATGGATTTTCCCCGTTCTTCTTGCCTCCTCTCCATCTCTTGTTCTCTTATTTCCCTTTTCTTCTCAGTGCAATATTCTTCCCTCTCTCCCTTCCTCCCTTTCCTTCCTTCCTTCCTTCCTTCCTTCCTTCCTTCCTTCCTTCCTTC